GCCCCCCTCCAGCGATGCCACGCGGGGGTCCTGCACCCGGGTCCTGCTGGCCACCAGGTGGGTGACATCCAGGAGCCACTCCGGGCCGGGCAGGTAGGCGAGGTGCCGGCCACCGTCCAGGGGGTGGGCCACGAAATGGGCCAGGCCCCCCGCCCCGGCCGGTGGGGCGGGGGGCGGCCGCCCCTCCCCCGCCGCTCCCCCTCCTCCCCGGGCTCCTCCGCCTCTGCCAGGGGGCTGGGGGGGGAGTGGTGGGGGGGACACCCGTGTCACGGCCCCCCAGGGGTGGTGTGCCACCGGGGGGATGTGTCATGAGTGCTGGGGGGCTTAGCAGGGGCAGGGATGTGTCACGAGTGTGGGGGGGCTCAGCGGGCAGGGGTGTGCCTCATGGGTGCCGTGGGGCTCAGTGGGGCAGGGAGACACGGCATGAGTGTGTGGGGGCTCAGTGGGGCAGGGACACATGTCATGAGTGTGGGGGGGCTCAGCAACACTGGGACGTGTCATGAGTGCGTGGGGGCTCAGCAGGGCAGGGCTGCATCTCATGGGTGCTGTGGGGCTCAGTAGGGCAGGGAGATATGTCACGAGTGCTTGGGGGGCTCAGCAGGGGCAGGGATGTGTCATGAGTGTGTGGGGGCTCAGTGGGGCAGGGGTGCACAGGCTCAGTGGGGCAGGGACGTGTCATGAGTGTGTGGGGGCTCAGCAGGGCAGGGGTGCATCTCATGGGGCCATGGGGCAGGGACATGTGTCACAAGTGTGTGGGGGCTCAGCAGGGTAGGGGTGCATCTCATGGGTGCTGTGGGGCTCAGTGGGGCAGGGAGACATGTCACGAGTGTGTGGAGGCTCAGTGGGGCAGGGACGTGTGTCACGAGTGCGTGGGGGCTCAGCAGGGCAGGGCTACATCTCATGGGTGCCGTGGGGCTCAGTGGGGCAGGGGGATGTGTCATGAGCACGTGGGGGCTCAGCAGGGCAGGGCTACATCTTGTGGGGCCATTGGGCTCAGTGGGGCAAGGGGATGTGTCACGAGTGTGTGGGGGCTCAGCAGGGCAGGGGTGCGCACCCCAAGCACCAGGGGGCTCAGCAGGGCAGACACATGTGTCACGAGTGCGTGTGGGCTCAGCAGTCCACGTCACAAGCACGGCGTGGCTTGCTGCCCCACTGGAGGAGGGGGGTGTGTGTGGGGGGG